AAGTCTTCCTGTGTTTTTTTTTAAATTTAATTTGACATCATTCCCTTCTTTTTCTTTTGTGTTATTTTGTTTCATGCAGGCAGATTTGCTATCCTTTTCCCCACGAAAGCTCTAAACTCCACTATTCCTTTAGTATATGTTGATAACAACAAAAGGACAAAAGAGACACCAGATTCAGGCTGATTTCTGCCTAAGATACTTTTATCAGTATAAAAGTATATAAAAAAAATCAGTGGATGTTTCTTGGCAATAGAAGTGGTTTTGCCATTGCCATTTTTAGTAATGTTTTATCAATTTCCCAGTCTAGCCTATGGCCTGGAATTCTTGGGGGACAGTCAAGTCGTAGTCAGATGCAACCTTGTTTATAAACTTTTTATATTCATACAACACCAGCCAAGTGCTGTTGCTACCTGCTGAATGACAGCAAGTATGAAAGAAAGCTGAATTCTGTAATTAAGGCAAATTAATGCAACTACATACCTTCTTATGGTCCTTAAATATTTACAGGAGAGGTTTTTTATTTTTGTTTTTTAACTGTCTTTGCTATTTTTCTGTCCATATTCTTTCTGGGAAACCCTGCTTAATTTTTGTTTCAGTGACTTTACTATCTGTTTTGTTCCTCAAAATCACACACACACACACACACACACACACACACACACACACACACACACCTTTTTACAGGTTCTCTAGATTAAATCATCATGTGATTGCTTAGATACATTTGATTTATTGCATTGATGTTATCTACAGGTTTATGTATCAAGGCAAAGTTTTTTTCTGATCTATTTTTAAACTCTAGCATGAATATCCTGATGGCATTCATAAATGCTAGGAAGGAAAGAAGGGAGGGAGGGAGGGAGGGAGGGAGGGAGAGAGGGAGGGAAGAAAGAAAGGAAGAAAGGAAGGAAGGAAGGAGGGAGGGAGGGAGGGATTGAGGGAGGGAGGAAGGAAGGTAGGAAAGGTTTGTTCTGACATTTGTAATATAGGAAGATTCAACATTTTTAAAAAGTGTAATAGTTACAAACATTCTCCTCTTTCCACTTTTTAAAAAAATATTCAAACTTTTGTTTAATAATAAAGGATAATTCAGTGAAAAAAAGAATAAAGAGAATAAACTGTGCAAGAAAAGAAAAAATAGAAAAAGAAAAACACCTTTAAAAAATTGATTTCCAACCCTCATCACAAGTATAAACAATTTCACTATGTAACGGAATATGTGAATGACTTTGGGGGATAAGGGAAAGAAATGCTGCCTAGGAAACAAACAAGCAAGCAAGGGGGAAACCTCCAATGACTTAACAGTCAGAGAAAGCAGTTTAGGAAAGACTAATTGATCTTATGGTTAAAAGTGGCCGTGGGAAGTTTATGTCTTCAGACTTGCAAGATTCTGTTAATGTAGCCTTACAGATGTAGATTAGAAATCTACAGATATAGATTTGGCTCATCTAGATGTATCTTCTGTCTGGTTTACCTGGGAGGGCTGACACACCATCTCACACTTCTTCTTAATTGGCAGATATAAAACTCTTCACCCCCACAACTCAACACTTAACTATAGGCAAATCTAATACATAATGTTCTCCAGATGCTAGCAAAAAGTCCAGAGTCCTAAAATAATACTAACAAACAACTCATCATTCCACATCTCAACGCCTAACTGTAAGCAAATCTACAATTAAAAAGCAAAAATGGTCCTAGTATCCTAGTATGAATAAAGGATGAAATTTAACATAGCAAAGTGGGACAATTTTTCCTCTACAGAAAACAAGCTCATAAAAATCCCTTACCTTAAGTGAAAGGACAATCACATACAACACCAATTCAAATGCTATCCAATTAGTATACATAAATTAACTGTAGAGGGAAAGTCTTAAACACCATGTTAACTGTAAGCAAATCCAATAAACAGTTTTATTTCTATTCCAGACGTCAGCACATCCAAAGAGAACTACCCAAAACAACAATTTTTCCATTTTAATTGATTTCTGATCAAATGACTTTGTGTTCGTTTTTATGCATAACAATCTTTCTCTTTAGTCTATTCAGATGATTATGATCCTTATCTTCAAATCTTTAAAAAGCTTGCTTTCCAAGAAGAAATTATGCCAATTGCCATCTGGAATTTTCATTTTTATATCCTTCTTAATTTTTAAAGCCCCATCCAATTATTTTTTAATCTATTGACAAATTCTTGTTCACATTGATGTCAGATAGACTTTGTTGCGTATCTTGTTTTTCTGGGAACAGGCTGTTTCTACGAAAACTCAACACAGCTGACCATATTGATTCATTCCTCAAGAATGCCCCTGAAAATCATTAGAAGTTGTTTATCCTGTTATGTCTTCAATATCTAAATAATTTGTATCCCATGAAAATCCATTTATTCTTTAAAATTATTTTCAAAGTCTTAATAGTCAAAATAAAATAGTCCAACACTTTCTGAGTTCTGAGCATGTTTAAAACTTTCTATGGCCAAATCCTTGTCTTGCTTTTTCTTGTTTATTATAAATTCCTAAAAATACCATTTCATTTTCTTATATTAAGAATTGAAAGAAATAGCCAGTGTTTCCAGCCTTTTGAAGTTGTCAAACTTCTTTAAGGCAATTAATGGGTGAACTTAGTTATCCTGTGGAAGGCTCTGATTGTAGCTGGAGCAAATTTGGCAAATCCCCTCATCTTCCGGTCCTTCCATCTTTTAAAGACTGCTGCCTTGCAGTCTCCTTGGAAGAAGCAATTGTTTGGAACCCAACTCTGCAATCTCACACCTCTACTTTCCAGAGAGGGTTGAAGGAGCCAATCTATTCTTCAGTTCCTAGCCACAATTGCTCCATTTTATATGGAGCTATCTTCAATGTGCCATTCTTTGCTGAAAGTCCTCTACTTTCAACTATAAAAGTGCTGAAGACTATGAATGCAGGTTTCCAAATTTTGCTTGATGGATTTTGCAAACAGACAGGGAAAGACAGTACTAATACTAATAATTCCCCCATATTCTGATTATTCCTTCATTTCCTCCTGATTTTATTGTTTCAGAAGACTTCCTCTCAGAGATCCAAGCCTAGTTTTTCTTTTTTCATCATATAAACAAGAAACTGGCTTTAATACTTGGTTTTCTAAATGAAAGTTTACACCCAAGAGTACAATCTGTAATTTCTGTGTAGCAGCTTTCATTCCTGCCAAGTCTAAAACAATTAGTTTTAAAAAGGATCATTCCTTTCCTTACTGGGTGCTCCTTTCTGCTTTCCACATTTAACGTATTAATATTTTAAAAAGACAAAATGAAGCCTGGGAAAATTGCAAGGAAATTGAAGATTCAGCACTTCTGACCTATGTTGGATACATTTACACCAACTAGGCATCCACACACGGTTTAGAAAGGCACAGATTTCACAGGCAAACTTCTGTGGCCATTGAAAGAATGAAATAGCATCCTTAAGAGAAAGGGAGGGGGAGTTTACAACCAACAAAGAAACAACCAAGCTCAGAGAGCACCAAGAACTCCACAGTTCAACCTTGAGCTATATATGTTCTTCTATTGAAGTGACAGTTTGCTTAAAATTCTATGATTTGGGAGATTAGCTGAGTTTTAATTATTATGGAGATCAGATGCCAAATTAACAAATAATGTGCAGTTGAATCCTATGTATGTTTGTTGGGAAGTAAAGTTAATGAATCTTATTCTCTAGTTAAAAGCATTTGGGGCAGCAATCTCTTTTTATCTTTTTTTCCCTCACAATAAAAATATGAATATCATAGTGTCACATACACATAACAAATTTGTTCAGCAGAAACAAAACATGAGAATGCCCACAAAATAAATTGTTCCTTGAAATATTTACACTGTTCTCTCATTTTATATATAAAAAAAAACAGCTTCAATAACAAATAAAATTGCAAGAAAAAAATAGCTAAAATGAGAATTTAAAAAATTCTACCAACAAAGTCTCAACCCAAAGGTATTTACAATCTTACAATGCAAACTGCTGAAGCTCCAGTATTTGGATAATCAACTTTGGTTGCCGTGGTATGGCTGGTGGCTATTGTAAAACACACAATATTGTAACAATTCTATCTTTTAAAGCCTGTGCATACAATATTAAGGGTTTACATTGGATTGTTTTTAAAGTCACAAACTGTTCTGGGAGGCTCCTTACCTGAAAACTGGAGAAAAGTGTAATAAATAAAATAATAATTTGCTCAATTTTTTTTATACCTCACAGCCATCTTTCAAATTGCAATGTTTTATTTCCACTCTTCCAACCCTTTCCCCTCTCTTAGTTATCCAATCCATTGTATTTAAGTGGAATCTCTCCTGCTGAGATTCAGAATAAAGCCAACAATATTAAACAAAGCTGAGTAGAGTTTCTATTTGATACTCCCTCTTGTATACCTTCCCCTGGGTGACTGTCACCCTCTTTCCCTCCCGATACTTAACAAAGCTTTTCTCCTCATCCACCAGATGCCACTATCCTTCTGCTGATATCGTAACAACCTTTCCTCCATCCAAGTCATTTTACCAAAGTTTTGCTCTTTTTCCTCTCTCTATTCACACCCTCATGCCAGAAGACCCCTCACCAGATTTCTCTACCTCCGGCAATCATTCCGATCAGACTCTTTCAATGAATTCTTCCCTGCAATCTATTAATCCTCTCAGAAATAGCTAAAACACTCTCCACTCAAGGCTTACCTATGGCTTGACGATCTTTTTTTGCCCCGTTCGGAATTGCCAGGTACAAGTTAGAATTGCTTTCCTCTCTTGATAACCCAAGACTCAGCACATCCTCCCTCCCTCACCTTCTGAAACATTTTACATCCCATTGCAATATTTACCAGCTAACCTCTCAGTCAGTATCACTGTTGCCTAAATATCCTCTCTTTTCTTTTTTTTCTCCTTTCCTTCTTTTTCAATTTTCAAAAGGTAAGATGAAACAAAGTCGCCAGGCAGAAACTCCACACCCGAAAGGATAAACATGTCCTTGCACAGCCAATTGTCTTACCTAGCATAGTGACAGAGAGCACCAGCTGAAAGTAGAAAATCAGATGTAGGAAGCAATCCATGACTTTGCTCTTTGCTTCGCTTGTGCATCAACCCTTCTCTTTAAGGTTCTACAAAAGCTCTGATGTTAACACTTGGACTCTTGCTGGCTTATAGAATTCCACCTCCTGCTTTGGCAGACTCTCTTTGGGTCCTAAAGCCCTCATGGTTTCATTACCCTATACTTCTTTCAGCAAGTGAAAATGAAGACTGTTGAAAACGATTACCCCAACCTGCCCCATTTGAGTATCCATACATGTAAGCATTGGCATTCGCCTGGATTGGTGATTTTGATAATGTTGCATCTAATTTTATCTGTAACTACCTAGATAAATGTCTCAGGTTGGTTATAATAAGGTGCAAATTGAAATAAAGTAAATTCAACTTATTTTGTTCCCCGCAACAGTAAAAATACAGTAAGGAAATTAGCTATTTTTGAATTATTTAGACAGATGAAGGTTTTAATGACTACATTTCCTGCCAATGCACATTTTTATAACTTAATGTTTCTCTCATATAAAGGAATGTTTCTGAATACATATATTACATTTGGTGCTATTACTATAACACAGAAACAGATGGAAGGTTTGAACAATTTAATATGTTACATACTGTATGTTTGATTTTTACCTTTGGAAGACCAAGGGAAGGTTTAAATTTCTATCTCCTTCCAGAAAAGGCTATTTCATACCTTTATTTTTCAATGCTTAGAGGTCAACAGTTATAGGTGCATTGGGATTTAGCCTCTGAAAACACCACTAAACTTTTTACTACATAGACCACCCCCCTTGACCCAGTTGGAATTGGCTGAATAGATTAATCCCAGAAATTCAACCATAGTCTTTACAATGTTCCCCAGTGAAGAGGAAAAAGGAAATGCAAGTATTTGGGGAAGAGTTTCTTTGGAAGAACAGGCGGGTAATACTCCAAAATATCTGTTATACTCTAAGATTATATTAGACAGCACAATTCTAGAACAGCACAATGCATTATAACCATAATGACTTGTATCATCTGTGGCCTCTCAATTACCCACTTCTTTGTTCTAACCTGGTCAAAGTGATAATCCTCTTTGCTCTAGCAAATCAAAGAAGATCTGCCTGCTAAAACATCTATTTTGTTTACAAAAGGGTCCAAGATTAAAAAAAACTAAGATCTGCAAACAGGTTACGAAGCTTCCCTGATTTAAAACTTGGAAAGTTGCTGCTACGAACTATAAGCAGATGATTGAGGATAATATGACTTCTAGTTCAGTAGACTTGAAGGACACCAAATTGAGAAATGCTGCTGTGCTCCGTATTGAGTTATATGAACCAATGGTCCAAGAAAACTACAAAAAGTCATTGCAGTTGAGCTTGACTTGAAGGAGAGATTCTCTGTTCTGTGGGTAGATCTAAATCCAAGTCAAAGAAGGAAAGGGATAACTCAGTGGTGAAATCCAAATTTTTTTACTACCAGTTCTGTGGGCCTGGCTTGGTGGCCATGGTGTGGCTTGGTGGGTGTGATGGGGAAGGATATTGCAAAATCTCCATTCCCACCCCACTCCAGGGGAAGGATACTGCAAAATCCCCATTACCTCCCCAGTCCTGGGGGAAGGATATTGCAAAATCTCCATTCTTACCCCACTCTGGGGCCAGCCAGAGGTGGTATTTGCTGGTTCTCTGAACTACTCAAAATTTCCGCTACTAGTTCTCAAGAACCTGTCAGAACCTGCTGGATTTCACCCCTGGGATAACTGCTACTGAAAAATGCAGAAGAGGGAAGGTTAAACCAGGCAGTTGACATGCTTCTCAGTCAAGAGGCAAATTTCTCTTGGCTTTTTGTAATATAAAGCAATTGATGATGTTACCTAGTTAGAGAATGAAATGTCTGCAAGCAAACAACCAAGGTCAGACAGCACCAATAATTCCACAGTTCAATCCTGAGCTTCAGATATTTTATTCTCTTATAAATGTAAATGTCTCCTGGCCTCTTGTATCAGTTACAAATCCTGCATGTCAATGGCATGCTAATATGAATCATGACTAGTAGATTAATGTGTTATGCACACTTCAGACCTCAATTAATTAACCTAGCCAACTCATTGAATTTGTCTGGGGCTAAACCAACTCCTACCCAGTCAGCCTAACTACACCTATGTTGTGTGAGCATCCTAGCTGAAAATTCTATCTGATCATCTTTGTCTTGATTGGATATTGAGGGAGGTTTACCTTCCCTCCAACATCTGATCAAGACAAAAGGCTAAACAGGTGCAGTGAAAATGGGTTTTTGGATGGAAATGGGTAAGGATGATTAAACTCATTGGTAGTGGCACTGTCTATGATCATACCACTGCAGATTTTTAAAAGTTTTTGGCAGACTAAACAAAACAAAATGGTATAAATGAGTTGCTTATCTTGTTATGGCTCCAATAAAAACTGCCAGTCTCCTTTGTGGCACTTGGGAGAACTAAAAGTGGCTTCTGGATAACTAAGTCATTGTGCATTACTGGAGCACAGAGTTATGTCAGTTATGGGCATTGTGCAAAAACAGCCAACAAGTCGCGGCACCTTTCCTGGCCAGCTGCATTGGTAGTATCTCGATGCAATGAACTGCAGGTCAGCAGTTCCATTGTGTGTGTTGTGTATGTGTGTTGGGGGAGGGAGGGGAGTTCTCAAAACATTGGGCATTTGGATCTGACTAGGTTTTTCTATGATTTACCATTTGTGAAATTCCTAGCCAAGTGCTCTGTATGAAGGAAAAGCTTGCACCATTTTAAGAACAAAAGAGTTGGGAAGAGAAGAATAATGTGCATTTGAGCTTGACAATACATTTCACCTCTAGGAGCTTGGCTCTGATTTCTTACATACTGTAGTGTATGGGGGCCAGTGCTGCATCATTGATCTTGCAAATCAGTGCATGTTAGGGGAACCAATAATTTTGCAGGCTCGGTAGACTGTTTCTTTCTCATCCAGCTCATTTAAATTACAGTTTGTAAAATGTTTCGCATTGCAAATTGCAGAGCTAGAACTACCTAATAAAATTAACTTTGCTGTGCATTATGAAATTCATAGGGATGCGAGATAAATATCTTTTAGGACCAACTGATATTCACGCTGCAATCTCTATGATGATATCATTGTCCTCCAAATTAAATTTAATTAATAGATAAGAGCTCTTCAATCATTTTAAAATCTTGTTATCTGATTGGAGTGTATATAACAGCTTTTTAGTCAGAGGAAGAAACTGATCTTCCTTTGGGCAAACAAAAAAGTTTCAGGTTCTTCATATCTATACTGTAATTGGAGAAGACCATTTCATCCAAGTATTCTTATATGTACAACTCATTTTTAAGTAAGCTCACTATAAGTGTAAATAAAAATACTTTGAGATACTTGGATATTTTTTCCTGCAGATTTTCCACTTGTTTGTATTCATCCAAAAACTTTTGCTTGAGTGTCAAAGTCTAGCATGTCAGACCAGTTTATTAGGTCCAGTGGTGGGATTCAAATAATTTAACAACTGGTTCTCTGCCCTAATGATTTCTTCCAACAACCAGTTTGCCAAACTGCTCAGAAAGTTAACAACTGGTTCTCCCGAAGTGGTGCGAACTGGCTGAATCCCACCACTGATTAGGTCTTGTATAGTGTTGTGACTTCAAACCATGGATCATATTTGTAACCAAAGACTTTCCATTGGTCAGCCTGAAAAACAAACCTTCCTTTCCAGCCCTAACATCCAAGGATGGAGGACTGAAATGAATACATAGTTAGTGTTTCTCAATCTTGCCAACTTTAAAACATGTGAACTTCAAGACCCACAATTCTCCAGCCAGCTATTTAAGAAATTCTTTTCACAGGAATATAAAAATTCATAAACACTGAGGCAAAAGTAGTGGCACTAAGTATAAGGTACAGGATGAACCCAAAGATAAAACAAATTATGTCTCAAAAATATTGTCTACTGCTGTTATATCCACCTAATCCAGCAGTTTTGGATCAATAATTTTTTATTGTACAAAGCTTTAAACCATTTCCTTATGTTCTTATACGCAAAGAGAAACTGATGTAGAGTCCATTTATTGGAAGATCAACATATGCCTTTTTATGAAACATTGACATTGAAAATAATCAATTTTGGCCTTTTTTCTGCAATTGAATTTTATACCTCTGTGTCTTTCACAAACTCAAAAAATGATGCTGAAGAATACTGATACTATTCAGGTGAGATTGTCTTTAATTTACTATTAATGTTAGCATGGATTTGAGCTCAGGGTCTTCAGTGAAAATATATGTGATATAAAAGAGATTTTTAATTAAATTAGGTTTTTACATGAAAATATTCCTGTTCTGATTAATTCAAACTCCATTGATCAGTCCTCCTACCAGTGATGGGTTTCAAAAAATTTTTACTACTGGTTCTGTGGGTGTGGCTTAGTGGTCGTGGGATGGCTTGGTAGACGTGGCTTGGTGGCCATGGCAGAGGAAGGACACTGTAAAAACTCCATTCCTACCCCACTCCAACAGAAGTTTTCTGCAAAATCCCCATTTCCTCCTGATCAGCTGGGACTTGGGAGGCAGAGAATAGATGGGGCTGGGGCCAGTCAGAATTTTTACTACAGGTTCTCCGATCTACTCAAAATTTCTGCTACCAGTTCTCCAGAACGGGTCAGAACCTGCTGAAACCCACCTCTGCCTCCTACCAAATCTTACTACTTTGGAAGGAAAGTGCATTGGCTTAAATTTTAAAAACAGCAATAAACATAAGGACACTTAGTGTTCTCCAATTCCCCAACATTTGACAAAACTAATTTCTAAGAGTTGCAGTATCTGAGCTGCAAATTCACACCAGCAAATTAACAGATGACAGCAGGGAGAGAATGAAAACTCCAACTCGGCTAGTCAGCTGAATTTTTGCAACCATATATGACAACCTGAGATTCAGAATGGACATAAATCAGCTGAAATATCTAGCAGATCAAATTGGAGTAATCCCAAATCCAGGTAGACTCCTCTGTCCTCTGCAACTCTTTTCATCCCACTTGTGGCCTCTCTGCTTCTTCTTCCCCAGTTGCTGCTCCCAATGAC